TTTTTTTTGTAGAGCCAGGGTCTTGCTCTTGCTCTTGCTCAAGCTGGTTGGGATTTTCTTATTCCAGTAGAGAGTGCTCTTTGGAACTGTTGACCAGAGTTTGGGATTAGGTTTCAGGATAGCCGTGTTAGGCCAGGAAGCCAGGTTGGACTCCCATAGGGAAACACACTGCTGTAAACTTTGGGTTAGGAGGGATTTCAGAGGAAGCTATACTGTTAAGAGTTGGGAAGAACAAAGAACGAAGCTGTAGTCACTAGAAGTAAGACTTTAGTGACCCTGACATCTGAGCAGTCAGGAGGGTTTGAAAGCTGATTAAGCCTCAACAGCACTGAGCAGAGAAAGTCAAGAGTTCTATTTAGTGGATAGCAGACTCTTATAATTCTGAAGTCCATGGTTGATGAATGATATTTTTGTTTAAAAGATTAGTTCTTCTTGTCAGCCTGGTTACATTTCTCCCAACTGTTATCATTTTTGGCACCCAGGCAACTGGTTTCTTTATCATGTGTACCCTTCCTCCCACCAGCTCTCTCCTCTTCTTGTTTTTTTCTTTCTTTCTTTCTTTTTTTGAGACAGAGTGTCACTTTGTCACCCTCGGTAGAGTGTTGTAGCGTCACAGCTCACAGTAACCTCCAGTTCTTCGGCTTAGGCGGTTCTCCTGTCCCAGCCTCCTGAGTGTCTGGGACCACCAGCGCCCGTCACCACACCCGACTATTTTTGTTGTTGTTGTTGTTGTAGTTTGGCCGGGGCCGGGTTTGAATTTGCCACCCTTGGTATATGGGGCTGGCGCCCTACTCACTGAGCCATTGGCACCGCCCCCTCTTCTTATTTCTTAACATTTTCTCTTTATCTTTAGATCAGTGGTTCTCAACCTTCCTAATGCTGTGGCCCTTTCATACAGTTGCTGTGGGTCATGACCCACAGGTTGAGAACTGCTGCTTTAGTTGGTCTCATTGTTAGGTTTTTCTTTTAACTGCAAAACAGACTCAGAAGTTCAACTCAGATGAGAAATAGCAGACTTGGTATTGAGTTGAAATTGTGGTACTCTGGTAGGCTGAGTAGGATATATCCAATTTTGAGATTATTATTATGGCTTGCAAAATTGGTAAAATGGGGAATAGGCTGAGCTGGTAGGGTTGTCCTTTGGTATCTGTGGGGGATTGGTTTCAGGACCCTCCTCTGCCCCCAGTGGATACCAAAATCCTGGGATGTTAAAGTTTCTTATATAAAATGGCATAGTATTAGCATATAACCTATGAACATCCTCTTGTATACTTTTAAACATTTCTAGATTAGTCTTTTTTTTTTTTTTTTTGGAGATAGAGTCTTACTCGTTTGCCCTGGGTAGAGTGTCATTGTGTCATTATAGCTCACAGTAACCTCAAACTCTTGGGCTCAAGCAATTTTGTTGCCTCAGTCTTCTAAGTAGCTAAAACTACAAGTGCCCACCACAATGCTTGGCACTAATTTTTATTTTTTCTTTTTCTTTTTTTGAGATAGAGTCTCGCTTTGTCGCCCTCGGTAGAGTTCCATAGCGTCACAATAACCTCAAACTCTTGGGCTCAAGTGATTCTCTTGCCTCAGCCTCCCAAATTGAGGCCAATACAGGTGCCTGCCATAACCCAGCTATTTTTTTTTAGAGGCAGGGTCACACTCTGTCTAGCTCAGGCTAGTTTGAAACCTGTGAGCTCAGGCAATCCACCTGCCTCAGCCTCCCAGAATGCTAGGATTACAGGCATGAGCTAATTTTTCTGTTTTTAGTAGAGATGGGGTCTCACTCTTGCTCAGGCTGGTCTCCAACTCCCAAGCTCGAGCAATCCTCCCACCTTGGCCCTTGGCCTCCCAGAGTACGAGGATTACAGGCATGAGCCACCACAGCTGGCCTCTAGATCGCTTATAATATGTAATACAATATAAATGGTATGTAAATAATTGTTATTCTTTATTGTTTAAAGAATAATCCCAGGAAAAAAGTGGTCTGTGCATGTTCAGTATAGATACAACCATCCATTTGCTTCCCAAATGTTTTCAGTCCGCGGTTGTTTAAATCTACATAGGCAGAACTATGGATGTGGAGGACTGACTGTATCTTAGTGGACATTGTGCTAGGGTGAGGGAGTTTGGGAGGGTGAAAGCTGTGGGAGGTGAGTGAGGAGGTGTGCGGGTGGGGCCCTGACTGGTGTTAAGCCCATGGTATAATAGCAAGCTTTGTTTATACTTTATGAACTGGGAATGTTTGTGTGGCTTTCAGTTGAAGACAATCTTAGTATTATCCAGTTAGGTAGAGAGGATTAGAGTTTCTAGGCCTTTTTCTTTTCTTTTCTTTTCTTTTTTTGAGACATAGTCTCAAGCTATTGCCCTGGGTAGAGTGCCATGGCATCACTGCCCACAGCAACCTCAAAGTCTTGGGCTTAAGCGATCCTCTTGCCTCAGCCTCCCAAGTAGCTGGGACTACAGGCACCCGCCACAGTCCCCTGTTATCCAGGCATTTTTCTTAAACTGACAATTACCATGGGTGCTTTTCATTTTGTTTTTTTCTATCAGGAAGAGATAATCAAAGTCTTAAATGTGACATTTTTTCTATTTATAATTTATCTATTTTTTTAGAGACAGAGTCTCACTTTGTCACCCTCAGTAGAGTGCCATGGTGTCACAGCTCATAGCAACCCCCAGCTCTTGGGCTTAGGTGATTCTTTTGCCTCAGCCTCCTGAGTAGCTGGGACTACAGGCACCTGCCACAACATCCAGCTATTTTTTGTTGCAGTTTGGCTGGTGCAGGGTTTGAACCCACCACCCTCAGTATATGGGGCCAGCTCCCTACCCACTGAGCTGTAGGTGCTGCCGTATAATTTTTTTTTTAATGCCTTGCCTCAATTCAGGGGAAACCTATTTATAATTTTATATCAAGTTCATTTTAATAAGAGAAAAATAGGATAAACTTATCCCAATTTAACATATAATTCCAAAATTCATATCCTCAAGAATAACTTGGAAATATGGATGGCTTTTCTACCTTCTTTCTTTCCCCTCACCCCCAGTGGGAGCAGA